CAGTCGTATTTGTCGGGTTAATAAACTGATAATGATGATATATAACTACGGCTGGTTAGATCTATTTCTATATTATACATAGTTATTTTAGAGTGTGATAACACAGGTATGTTGTACGTTAGCACGAAGCCTCCTACATCTTGTGTTTACATGTCTCTTGATTCTATCATTTTTGCTTATGTTTGATTTAATCTCATGTTGCTTCGTATAGTAACAAGCTGTGCAGACTTGTAGCCTAGGAGTAATAATAGGCTATGCCATATAGCCCAGTGTGTAGTAGGCCCTACCATCTAGGTTTGTGTAAGAGCACTCTATATGATGTTTATGCAATAATAAAATCACCTACAGACAACATTTCTCAGAACATATCCCTTTGTTAAGCATGGCTATACTGCAGTACTTCCACACCAAGGCAGCTTTAACCCTGACTTTGAACTGCATAGTACTGCCAGTCTTTCTCCATTTTTACCCCATTCCACCTCGCTCCTCCCTTGTTCTCTGACTTGGTTGGGGCCTTGGTTCCCAAGCTGGCAAGTAAATAGGATGCAGTATCTCTGAGTCACTTTTAGAACCTCCTTTCCCCCCATACCTTCAGATTCTATCTCCTCCTCCCTGGAATATCCTCTCCTTTCCATTCTTGATGCAATTGCTCTAGGTCAGAACTCATTATTTCTTGCCTAAATGAATCTAATTACCTTTTAACTAATCTCCCTGCCTCCAAAGTGCTACTTTTAAAACACTGAGCTGATCACCTCACTCTTCTCAGAACTTCTGATTCTATTGCCTAGTGAATAAAGTTAAAACTCCTCAGCAGGCATTTGGGGCTCCCCATGCTCTCATCTTTTTTTTTTAATAGTACATTTTTATTGATTTCAGAGAGGGAGAGGGAGAGAGAGATAGAAACATCAATGATGAGAGAGAATCATTGATCAGCTGCCTCTTGCACGCCCCCTACTGGGGATCGAACCCACAACCCAGGCATGTGCCCTTGACCGGAATCGAACCCAGGATCCTTCAGTCTGCAGGACGATGCTTTATCCACTGAGCCAAACCAGCTAGGGCGCCTCATGCTCTCATCTTAACCTCAATGTCTTCCACCTCATCTTCCCTGGAACTATTCCTTAAACTCATGTGTATCTTTACACTTTTAGGGTTATGCTCATACTCTTTTGTCATTTTGGATAAATGGCTCCCTCTTCCCCCTTTTTGCCAATGATCAAACGATTAATCTCTTTCAAGGCCTAATTCAAATATCATTTCCTTAATAAAAGCATTCCCAATAATTTGAGTTGGAATTGTTTCCCTCCTCTGTATTTTCACCTTATATCATTTTTGAATGTCAGGTTCATAACAGGTATAACTAACCATCAGCACAATGATGATATAAAGTAGAGTTAACCCTTGAACAACATGGCAGTTAGAGGTGCCAGTACAATACAAAATTTGTGTAGCTACTGTATTTCCATCAAACAAAGTTCCTTTCTCTTTGTAGACAGTTCCTTCTTCCCACTTCTAGTTCCTGTCAATCACGGATTTGATTTCTGTTCCTACACACCTCATATAATTTAATCTTATTTTTTTATTTGTCCCTGTAGACCTTGTTTTGTGTACACATCTTTCTATCATTTGGTTGTATAATCTCCTTGCAGACAGAGAGCTGTAGTTATTCACCCTTGTATTCCTCATGGTTCCAAGCACAAGTTCCAAACACATTTATTATGTGTCAGGTCATAACTATTTGATAAAAGAAAAAGGGAATTAAATAAAAAGGAAAGAAGAAAGGAAGAAAAGAATGACCCAAAGAACAAATGGACAAATCGCTCTAGAAGAGTTCTGATTCATCAATAGGGCAACCCAACAGGGCTCATGCCAGTTTAGTGAATTATTCTGAGTTATTAATCTGAAGTATAAAAGTAGCTACTCTTAAATACCTAGACATAAGCTGTCACTGATCTTGCATATGACAGCACTATAAGATCTGAGGGGTTCTGTCCTTGGTATACAGCAAGTACACTTGTAAGTTTCAGGGAAGTTAAGGGAAGGGAAAAGTAATTCATTTACCAAGTGCCCCCACAGCCATTGTGCAATATGCTTTATTATTCCCTTTGATCCCTGCTCTGATCTGTTTTAATCTAATTCTTACAACTACACTCTCACTTAAGTTAAAAGTTATTAGGAGGTATTTCTTTGTTGGAAAAGGAAATAGGCAATTCAAGGAAATTTAGGGGTATACCTCCAAGGGGAGGGACAGGTTAACAATTGTATTTTTGGGTCAGGATGAGTTCTTCAGAGATTTTTTCTGAGCGTTTCATTTGTGAAATCACAATAAACAAGAAAGGATAGGAGATAGGGTTTTCAACACTTTTTGATGTCTATCATTGATCCATTCAGGGTGCTTCTGGTATGGTGACCATGTTCACTTCATTAGCCGGATATGATGCAAAGGAACTCTAAAGTGCTGTTTAATGAAGTTGTCAACTAAGGCACATGGTGGAATTTAGGGTGAAGGGGTGTAGTTGGTCAATGGGTAATAATAAGAACAGCCTTCTTTCCTTATTTTGGTGTCACGGGAATTGAAAGTGATTTTGCAATCACTCTTGGGAGATAATTTTCTTGGTTCTTAGAACAAGTTGGAAGATAAACTTTGGACAATATACTGTACTATGCCCTTTGTAATGAAATAACCCAAGATAGTATGTTACAGTTTAGTGATTTAAATTCCCGAGCTGATTAAAGAGAGCTGTTAAGACCAAAATATGTGTTAGTCCTACTCCCGGAGTTTCAACTAAAAATAAGTACAATTCAACTTGACGGCTGAGACCGGGACAGGAACATCTTGCAAATTTTGTTAATTCCGGGTCCCGTCCACGGAAGGTGAAGCCATTAAAAGTTGTGGAGTCGTGATGGAAGCGCTGTTCCATCCAGGAGGATAAATCTGGCTGTGCGTGTGGAGATGGCCTGGAACAGGGAAGACAGAAGCAGTTCGGCTGCTTGGAGGTGACTGCAGGATCCAGGCTGCGGAGAACAGAGCAGGGATCAAGGGAAGAGTAAGACATGAAAAAAGAAAGTAATAGTGCCAGTAACGTGAGTGAGGAGGGAAACTGAAAGAACGGCTTCGCGTTCCCCAGAGACGCCGTTTTCTGCAGAGGCCCCCCCCGACTCCTTCGTCCTTAGAGGGACGTCCTGAGACCAGCATGACGGTGGAAGCCAGCAAAGGCGCACGGGACGCAGGACCCGCCGCCAATGTCCTCCAGCCCCCTCCCCTCCCCTCCCCGCCTCCGCACTCAAGCCGTCCCTCCGGTTCCGACCCCTCTCTCTTCCCGGAGCAGAGTCCCCAGAACTGCCCCCACCCCCATTCTCCGCCCGCCGCCAGCACCGCCTACTGCCCCTTCCCTTCCCCCCTCCCCTCTGGGGTGCTGACTTTCCCGGCTGCCACGTCTCACTGATGACATCACCAGGGCCGCCCGGCCTCAGCCAATCCGCTAGGGGGAGTCCGAGCGAAGTCCTAGCCAGCGAGTCAGCGGGGAGGGGCGCCGGGAGGAGCGGAGGGCGGCGGTGAGGGAGTGGGGAATGGGGCGGGAGACAGCCCCGCAAGTACGCATGCGCCCGGAGCGCGGGGCTTGGCGGGAAGTTGAGTCCCGGCCTCCCAGCCGCACCGTCAGCCCCCAGCGCCCGCAGAAGTGCTAGCAACACTCTCTCCCGGCATGCCACGCGGTGCGGCCGCCTCTGGGCTATGTAAAGGCCCCTCCGTCTCAGGCATCCCTATTTCCTGGTTCGCCGGCGGCCATTTTGGGTGGAAGCGATACTGAGTGGCGGCGGCTGCTGAGTGTGTTCTAAGGGGACGGAGTGGGGGAAGACGTTTGCTCTCCCGGAACAGCCTATCTCATTCCTCTCCGACTACCCGGGGCGGCGCGGAGAGTCAGGTCGGCGGCTGCAGCAGCAAGGGCGGCGGTGGCGGCGGCGGCAGCTGCAGTGACATGTCCAGCATGAATCCCGAATAGTGAGTGCAGGAGAGGACCGGTCGGCTGGGTCGGTGGGCCAGCTCTGGAAGGCTGAAAGGGGGCGAGGAGGGCAGGGGACGGGGTGGGGGCCTCCGCCGGGCTGAGAGAGGGTGATGGGCCCGGAGGAGACGCTGGCGGCTCGGGCCCATTGTCTGACGGAGGAGGATGGAGGAGGTGCGGCCTCACCTAGGAGTCAGGCTGTTGGGAAAACAAATCAGCAAAACGATCTTTTTTTTAATTAGTCGGAAGATGGAATTATTTGTTGAGGAAAGAAAAATTATCTATGTTTTTTTTTTTTTTTTTTTTTTTTTTT